CACTGGAGGGTTAGGGACATATTCCGAAGTCCAGAGAGAGCCCTGGGCACCAGGGACTCCTCCCAGGGTTATAATACTGAATCTTTATGAACAACTTAAATGTACAATAAGGAAATTATATGTCCATTAAGTGGACTGTTACAGGGCATTAAAAATGGCAGCCAGTGATTCTGTGTTAACTTGGGGCTGGGGGAATGCTTATATGTAAAGTTAAGTAGAAAAAAAATAAAATACCAGATTATAGGAAATGAATAATTCTAGCCACATAAACAAATGCATGAAAGAAAAGATATCAAAACAGTAAAAGCAGTTATACTTGCTTATAGTTTATTGTGCTTTCCAGGTTTTCTAGAAAGATTGGATGACTACCAGAGGGGGGTGCGGAAAAGATGCTTTTCTTTCTTTTTTGGCAGTGTGCCGTGGCTTGCAGGATCTTAGTTTCCCGACCAGGGATCGAATCCGTCCCCACCCCACCCTCACGTCCTGCAGTGAAGTGCAGAGTCCAAACCACTGAATTACCAGGGAATTCCCAAAAGATGCTTTTCAAGTATATATTTTTTCTTTTTTTATACCAGGAACAGCATCACAAGCACTGTTATTGAGCTTTGAGACATAAGTTTTCATTTATTTTATTTTTGCACCTGTTTTAAAACTAAGAAACAGAGAGACAAGAGAAAGTTGAAGAAAGGGGAGGAGAGAGAGAGTGAGGGCAACTCTCTGACCCTGATTAATCCTTGCCATGAAACAAGCATTGTTATCTTGTGGAGCCAGGAGACAGGTTCAGAAAGTCAAGTTCAAGGTTACCTGAGGGCAGAGGCGCCATCACAACCAGGCTACCACGCCAGGATCAGGCAAGAGAAAGAGAAACCAAAGGGCAAGGCAGGTGAGCACAAAATCTCAGGGGTGATTTATAAAACAGCGTATAAGGGTGGTTCTAGTGGTAAGATTGCAGTGGTTTTTTTCCCCTCCTCAATTTTCCAGGTTTTCCATAAGGTGATATGAACTTTTTGTTTTTATTTATGTGCAAGAAGAAAACTGCAACTGTTTGAAATCACTGAACTGTGAGCAGCAAGAGAGAAAACAGGCTCTACTCATCCTGAATTCCCTCCTAAGGGGAATACAGGGGTCAGAGGGGAAGGGGGGAAGAGTCTCACAACCCCAACTTGAACCATATGCTGCACCTCGGGGCTGCCTCAAGGATTCAGGGGACGAGGGTGGAGCGTGTGTGTGTGTGTGTGTGCATGTTGTGGGAGTTTCCTGTGATGAGGAGCAGCAGGACTCCATGGAGCTGTCTGCAAAGGTGAGCCGTTGTGTCACAGGTGGAGTCAGCCCCCCCTTGCATGTCTCCCCACCATCCACAAGTCACACACAAGCGCTCTGTAAGGCACATTTACAGGAAGCTGTGTGCCATGGCTGTTTTCCCTACAGTCAGCTTTCTGGATCACAAAGCATGAAGAAAGGCATGTGTTGGGGATGGGGCAGCACCTAGAGGTGAGGAGGGGTTCGTTAGGGCAGCTTTAGTTTTAGGAGGATGGGGCCACCCAGACAGGGGTTCTAGGAAAAGCCATCCCAATCATCTTCACATCCAGCTGCCCTGATTCCGAGGGCAGCATTTCTTAGAGAGCTTGGCCTCACCTTGGGGTGTCAGTGAGGGGTTTCTAGGCAAGACCACTGTGGCCTCATCCCTGGGGAAAGGGTTAGGGAAACTTTTAATTATGTAATTCTAACATATACACACACACAGAAAAACCTAATGAGAATCCATTTTTTGCAGAGAATTTGCCCAGTCTTCCTGCTCCAGTATAAAGTGCTTTTATTTTCCCAGGTTCCTTGTCAATCTACATTCATAGGTATAAACAAGATTATGGGGAGTCACCTGTGGCCTTTTGGAGAGCTATTTCCAAACAGTGACTGGGGTTTAGGAATGAGTGAGGGTTCAGAGCAGCATGGTTAAGTCTGGTGAAGGGAAGCAGACGTGGTTCAAAGGCTTGAGTGGTTAGCTAGGTCAAGGTGACTTGTGTGTTAAAGTGGGAGGTTGGGGAGATGATGCAAACACGCATCTTCAGGAGCCTCAGAGAGGAAGAGAGAAGGGCAAAGGCCCAGGAGGACCTGAAGGGCACAGGCTCTTGAGTGATTTGTCTTGTGAGTGCAGAACCTCCTATAATGCACTGTCACATCCAGGGGCCAGCCCTGAGGCTTGCACAGAACTGGGAGATACATAGGTATCTTGTTATTTAATACAGAGATGTGATTCCAAGAGACAAACCCACCTGTCTAAGGTAAAATAGCCATGATCTGACTGTGGGTTGAGGTGGGCTGATGCCAGGTCTAGGATTCTTTCTGTCCCAGATGATACCGTGTCCTCTAGTAAAGACAAGGGACCCTTATTCTCCCATAGATGGGAGGAAGAAGATGGGGGAAACTGAGGACCCAGAGAGACTGAGATGTCGAGGACAAGGGAAGTGAGGAGGAAACAAGAGGGGAGATGAAGACCTGTCTGGCATCACCATGCAGCTGAGAGGCAGCAATGGGAGTGAGGTTATGCACATTGACAATGGATCCTGTAACCAGGTACATGGTCAAGGGACACCTTTACCTAAAGCTCTTAGGTGACTGTTGGCTCCACACAGGGGCCTCACTGCCCATCAGTTAATGAAATCCCTGGTGGCATTTTCCTAATGAGCACTTACCTAGGGCATTAGGGGAGGAGTACTGGGCTTGGAAGTCCCTATTCTCATTTTGCTCCTTTCTATATAACTATATCACCCTGGATAAACCACTAGAAAAATAAGAACCAAATATAAGAAGTCTATTGTTCTACACCTTCCCAATCTCCCCATTCACTTCTTATTTCATCATTCAACTGCCTCTGAGGACAGAATGATTGAAAGTATGACATGGACCCTTTCTTTGCAAAGCATTAAGAAAATACTAAAATCCAGGCCAACGAGCCCTCCCCTTGGAGAGTGGGTGCCTCTCACAACTCCTGAGACAAGGCTTTGCACAAAAACTCAGTGATTATCTCCCAGCCAGCACTGGTGAGACTCTGCTGCAGGCAACTGCCCAGAGGATTCCTTCATTATAACCTTTCTATGAATGATTCAGGGGTGAGGACCGTCGCTGTTTGTGTCTGGAGGAATAAGAACATATTATAAAAGAGACCTGAAAATCTGTGATGTATCCAAAAATAGCACCCAGATACGCCAGCTTCCCCGCTCACCTTTCTGTACCATCCAACTCTTCCTTGACTTGCCTCATGCAACAAGGGTAGTTTGGGACCCCCACTGCTCAGGTATCCTGGGATCAGTCATCAAACAGTCTTGGACTGAATGCTGCCAGGTGACCCAGCAGAACTAGCACTCCTAATTCTTACCCACTCTGATGGGCCTTGTCCTAACTCCTTCCCCACTGCAGGTGCCCCTGCAGTCACATGCTTTTGTCAAGTGATCTGCAGCCTTGGGCTGCTCACTCTGCAGAAGAGAATGGGGGGGAGGGGGGGGGGACAGAGAGTAAGAAAATATAGCTCTCTCCTGGGAACCTCACAAGCTTCTAGCTTATAAAACATAACTGCCTTGCTACCATTTCTGCCGAGTCCCCACTGGCCAGCAGCACACGCTGTGAAGTCAATCCCCTCCCACTCCACTCCCCGACCTCGGCCCATTGGGAGAGAAAGGATACTTGCTGAAGGGATCTGCTGATGTTCCCCATGGTTCAGAAATGCACATGTGTGACCAAAGCGGGCAGGAGAGGAGGCTGATCATAAGGTGGAGTGTCTCTAAATAACGAGCCCCACCGACTGCTGAGCCTCTCTGTACTCCGCTCTCAGCTTCCTGTGCCTCCAACAAACTTTGTGACTCAGTGTTTGCAGAGTGAGGCAGCCAAGCAGACTTGGTGATGGATTAAATCCAGAATGTGCTTTTCTTCCAACACTCACCTCTTGGCTGCCACCTGAGCCCCTACCTGGCTGCGGGGGTGGGAGCTGAGCATAGCTCCAGCTCTTCTGTTGGCCCTAAATAGCTACCAGAGCCTGAGTTCTGACGACTTTGGTCCATGGGTATCCTCTCTCTCTTCTCTGTCTCTGTCTCTGACACACACACAGCAGCTGGAGGCTCTATAATGCAGTTGATTTCCAAACTGGTCTGGGTCTCCTGTACTCCATTCCTCCAGGCTGCAATCTGGACCCCGAGTGCTCTTTTCTTCACCCACACTGCCTCCAAACCCAGAGGAATTCCTGGAAATTTTTAAGGCAGAGCAGGGCATCATGAGGGTCTGGCTAACTGTTGCACATCAGTTGAGGGGATGGCCGTGGAAGGGGGCAAGAGAGATCGGGTGACAGACAGAGGTGGCCACCCAGAGCTGCCTAGCACCCTCGGCAGCGTCTCTCCCCTTCAGCACGGCCGAGGGCATACCCGGAAGTTCGAGAGCTTGGGTCCCACGCGCGGCAGGGGCGAGCAGAGGCCAGGTCCATCCAGGGGCGGCGAGACCAGTCTCCCAGAACTGGCTCGCTGGCCGGCCCTCTGCACCGCGGGCGCCGCCTCCCACATCCTCGGAGCCCGCACAAGGCAGCCAGTGAGCGTCTCCCCGCAATTCCGGACCGGCTTCCCGCATAAAACTCCCCAGCACAACCTGCTTTTGTTAATTCTGCAAATGCTGTCACACGACCACCTCCACCAACACCCCCTGTTTCCTCGGCACCAAGAGAGACTCGCTTTCCCCGAAACCCAGCTGCTTGGGATGCCCCGAGTCCCGCCGCACCCCGACGGACCACCGCCCACGCGCCCCAGAGCCCTCAAACATGCAGCCCGAAGGAGCACAAGGACCCCTGGGTCTCCGGTCCTGAGCATCTTTGTCCTCCCAACGCAGGCGCGCGCACACCGAGCGACAGAGAGAGCCCAGCCGGGCACAGAGTCCGCAACCCCTGGCCTCGCCGGGGCCCCGCAGGGGGACAATGGTACGCGTCCTGCAAGTTTGCCAGCCCGGAGGCAGAGAGCCCTCCTTACCGTACATCTTGGCGGGGCGAGCGCCTCCCGGGAGGCCGCGTCGCCTGCAGCCAGCCCTCGGAGGCGCCGGCCTTTCATTCACAGCCGGGTTGGCGGATGGCGGCGGGCGGCGGAGGCCGGGGCGGAGCGGGAGACGGAGCGGGTTCGGGAGCGAGAGCGGGGGCCCAACGCGCGAGGGCAGGGGCCGGGAGCCGCGCGCCCATTCAGCAGCCGGGGCTGAGCGCGGCCGGCCTCCGCTCTGGTTTCTGGGCTGGGCTGCGCCGAGAGGGGCGGAGGCTATGCTAATATTGTCCCTACCCCCGGGCTCAGTCACTGTCTGGCCGCCCCGCCCACACCCATCCCGCCCCGCCCCCTGCAATTCCCACCCTCCTAGAAACCCAGATCCTTAGAAGCACCTTTCCTGGGCTGTCGACCCCAGGCGCTGGATGGAGCGTTTTCCAGCGGCAGCGTCCCCTATGGGAAGTGACCCGCCCTGCTCCGGTTGGAATGCTTAGGCCGACAGCTAAGATGTCCCGTACAACGTGCGGGGGCCCCGAGGGTCAGCAGGGGTGCTGAAAACTGCAGATGTAGCACCCCTACCCCAAATTTATCTAGAATGCGTTGGCTAAGCCAGGGGGCGCCAAGTAGAGGACTTGGGTGGGGGGAGTATCACCCCCTCCCTTGGCTCCCTTAATAAATAAACCCCGTTCCCTAATCAAGCCCTTAGCTATTACTCTCCCAGCCACTCTTTGGTCAAGTGCTCACTACAAAATCTCGTCCTTCCTGGGCCAAGAATGCAGGAAATGCACCCCGTCCTACCCCTTAATCGCTGCAGGAAGTCACTTGCTCTTCCTCTCCCGGATTCACACGTGTAATTCACATGCTCCATGTCCAAGATACTCTCTACCTATGCCCCAGGGATCACTCTCTGGACTCAGACACAGAGAGGCAGAAGGTTCATGCCCACAGCCTGAAGACAAATTCTAGCCCAGCTCAGGGCTTCCCTAAGGCTTCTTACCCAGCCTCCATTTCACATCTACAGCATGGTTGAAGGGGTTTGTCCTCAAAATTCTGCTAGTAGAAGTTCCTCTGATGTTGGGAAACATTGAAGGCAGGAGGAGAAGGGGATGATGGAGTATGAGATGATTGGGTGGCATCACCGACTCAGTGGACATGAGTTTGAGCAAACTCCAGGAGATAGTGAAGGACAGGGAAGCCCGGTGTGCTGCTGTCCACGGGGTCCCAAAGAGTCAGACACGACAGAGCGACTGACAGTAAGAACTGAAGTTCAGGAGGAGAGACCCTTAAAGATCTGCTGGATCATTGAAAAAGCAAGAGGATTCCAGAAAAACCTCTATTTCTGTTATTGACTACGGCAAAGCCTTTGACTGTGTGGATCACAACAAACTGTGGAAAATTCTTAGATGGGAATACCAGACCACCTGATCTGCCTCCTGAGAAATATGTATGCAGGTCAAGAATCAACAGTTAGAACAACATGAAACAACAGACTGGTTCCAAATGAGGAAAGGAGTATGTCAAGGCAGTATATTGTCACCAGCTTATTTAAGTTCTATGCAGAGTACATCATGCGAAATGCCAGGCTGGATGAAGCACAAGCTGGAATCAAGATTGCCAGGAGAAATATCAATAACCTCAGATATGCAGATGACACCACCCTTATAGCAGAAAGCAAAGAAGAACTAAGAGTCTCTTGTTGAAAGTGAAAGAGGAGAGTGAAAAATTTGGCTTAAAACTCAATATTCAGAAAACTAAGATCATGGCATCCGGTCCCATCTCTTCATGGCAAATAGATGGGGAAACAATGGAAACAGTGACAGACTTTCTTTTCTTGGGCTCCAAAATCACTGCAGATGGTGACTGCAGCCATGAAATTAAAGAACGCTTACTCTTTGGAAGAAAAGCTATGACCAACGTAGACAGCATATTGAAAAGCAGAGACATTACTTTGCTGACAAAGTTCTGTCTAGTCAAAGCTATGGTTGTTCCAGTAGTCCTGTATGGATGCGAGAGTTGGACTCTAAAGAAAGCTGAGCGCCAAAGAATTGATGCTTTTGAACTCTGGTGTTGGAGAAGACTCTTGAGAGTCCCTTGGACTGCAAGGAGATCCAACCAGTCCATCCTAAAGGAAATCAGTCCTGAATATTCATTGGAAGGACTGATGCTGAAGCTGAAACTCTGATACTTTGGCCATCTGATGCAAAGAACTGACTCATTGGAAAAGACCCTGATGCTGGGAAAGATTGAAGGCAGGAGGAGAAGGGGATGACAGAGGATGAGATGGTTGGATGGCATCACCGACTCAATGGACATGAGTTTGAGTAAACTCTGGGAGTTGGTGATGGACAGGGAGGCCTGGCATGCTGCAGTCAATGGGGTCACAAAGAGTTGGACACGACTGAGCAACTGAACTGAACTGAACTGACCGTTAAAGATGATATCATGTCTTTAATTTTAGTGAAGAGGAAACGGAGGCTGTGAGAGGTTAATTTGTGTTCTTTTCCTCGGTACACTGTGCTGTGTGTCCATAGGCCAGTCAGCTCCCTATCTGAACCTCAGCTTCTTACAGACCTGTTAGAAAATTTATATAAAACCTATGTAAGTACACACTGGCACTCATATATACCTTTTTTTTTCTTTCTCACCCAAGGCAAAGACAGAGCCAGGGAGAGAATCCAGGTCACTGGACTCTTGGAGCAGTGCTCTCTGTTGTATCCCAAACCCATGCTTCCCATTTCTCTATGGCCTCACCACCGTCTCCCACTTGCTTGATGTTTCCACATTTTGTACCTGTCCCTTTATCTCTTTACCTCTCTTAGCAGCACATGCAAGTTTTAGGGGCCCCATGGGAAATTCTGAGAAGGTTCCTGGAGCTCACATTTAATGGAGACCCTCGGGTAGCTCCAAGAAGCTCATCTTCTGTTGTTCAGTTCTAGGATCAGGTCAGGTGACTTTGAGATTTACTGAGAGTCACTTATGCCCTTGAACCAGGGCAGAAGCAAGAGAGTGGAGTCTAGCTTGGTCTGGACACGCAGAGATACTCCTACCCCTGCAATCTGTGCAGCACAAAATATATTCATTAAACACTGGTGTCTGCAACACAGTGGGAAATGCAGTGTTTGCCTTTAGAGTGAAATCTCTAGCAGGGATGACAAGACAAATGCAGATAAAAATATTACATGACAAGGAGGAATATGGTAAATTGTGCATAAGAAGCACAGATCTCATTTAGACATACAATATAGCACAGACCTTATTTAGACATTACAATATAAACCCTATTTAGACCTTCAGAGGGCTGATAGGCTAATTCATTCTTTTTATCAAATATTTACTGATAACTCTGTTTAATCTCTTTTATACATACAAATGGAGTATATAAGCACAAATTTTATAAGCACAAATGGAAGGTGCTCAGGAGAGGGGAGACATGCAAAAATAATAATAAAGTGTAATAATTACTTTGGTGAAGATCCATAGAGGAAGCAGAATAGAGCTTCAGGAAGGAAAAAAATATTCACGATGGACTTTGAGGAATGGGTAGGATATTAGATGTGGAGATATGTAAACATTAATAATTTCAGCCAGAGGGACAACAGTTTGCAAAGGTCAGGATGGCAGAGGGGAGAGAGAATGTGAGACACAGCCTGTAGTTTCATCTGGTTGGAACAGTTAAGGATGAGGAACAGACATGGGAAGGGAGGGGAATTCCCGGGTTGTCTAGTGGTCAGGGCTCTGGGCTGTCACTGCTCTCACTGTTCAGGTTCAATCCCTGGTCTGAGAACTAAATACCCACAAGCTGCCAAGTAGGAAGGGAGGCAATAAAGGTGGTCTGGGGCCATATCGGGAGGGCCTTGAGCACCTAGTCCAAAGGTTTCCTGTTAGATCGAAGGCTGGCAGATTTAGCAATTAAATTTGAATTATGAATAAATAAGGAATAAGTTTTAGTGTATGTCTCATGAAGTATGGGAGACATGTTATACTAAAAAAATTTTTTATCTGAAATTTAGATTCAACCTGTGTTTTATCTGGCAACTTTAGTTGGTACCATCCTTTGGGAAAGTGATTCTGGATCCTTATAACTGAACCAGGCCTGGAGTGGTCCTCCCCCTCCCCCTAACCTGTATTCCCAATTAGATCCCATTGGTATGTGGCCCCTAAAGGCCCAGGGATGGAGTCACTCTGGCCAGCCTGCACCCTTTGCCGGGGTGCTTTGGCCTGAGCACTCAGGTCCCTCTGGGTCTATACATTCAGTGGTGAAGGAATCTGGCCCATACCCAGCTTCTCTGAAGTATAATCAAGATGTTTAGATAAAATATGTGCAAAAGATGGTGCTGTAGAAGGCTAAGGTAGCGATGTTACATACAAGGAAGCTGGAACACAATCTTCCAGCTCGCAGGTCAAAACAAAAGAGCAAGGACTTCCCTGGGGGTCCAGTAGTTAATAATCCACTTTCCATTGCAGGGGATGCAGGTTCAATCCTGTGTCCCCTTCCCTCAATTTAACTGGCATTTGCTCTTCCCCTTCACCTGTATTTCCCTCCCTCATTACTTGGGTTTGGACTGGAGAGGGTCTTGGGCTGAACAGACCAAAGCAGTTGCTCTACTTTCCACCCCATTCCTGGGCCAACAGCAGTGCACCTGCTGGGGCAGCCACTGCCGTCAGAGCCCAGGGGCCTCCTGGGACTGGTTGGGTCAGGCCAGAGGAACTTGCCTTAGAAAAGCTTATTATTCTTTGGCCAAACTTATCCTGATTAGCCCAGTCACTCTGAACAATGTCCTTTGTTGCGGCAGCTCAAAGGATCCCCTCTGCCATGAGCAAGCACCACAATTCCCAGTTTCCTTTTGAACCAGAGACTAAATTGCCCTGCATAACAGAGAAAGGCAGGCTTAGGAGCAGGAAGCAGTCTCCCACCATCACACAAAACACAAGTCCCTCACTTGTACCCAAGATTCCATGCCAACAGGCCTGTTCTTTAATCCAAGGCTTCAGCTTCCTGAATCTCCAGCCTCCCACGNCGCACCCCCCGCCCAACTCATCCAAATCTGCACAGAAGCT